CTTTCGTTTTTTCACCAAAAGCACACTGCGTTGAAGAGACGGAAGTCGACATTTTTTGTAACAATGTAATACCGAACGTAGGTTCATTGTGCTTCTAGATATCGAAGATGATCCCGAAAAGCGTCTGATCAAACAAAACAGAGTATTTTCAAAAGTTGACAACTTAGAGATCAACGGTTCGCTTCGTCATTTGAATGTAGTGTCAGTCGTCGAAGATATCAGTCAACTGATCCGTTTGTCTCACTTAGAACATTTATTTCTACAGGCACAATGCGTTGAACTACTTGGAATGCTGTTAGACTTATCACTAAATGTCTCCAAGTTAGGCCTCACACTCTCGTCTGCCCATCTAGGATTGATCAGTGCTATTCACTCACCAAAACAAAAGATTACAGAGCTTACAATTAGTGATTTATCTAGTTCCAAGACTAAATCCACGAAGTGTATATGGGGAAATGAATATCGAGAGTTCCTCTTAGAGTTTATAAAGTTATTTCCACATGTGATTAAACTTAAAACCAACATTGTTGATGGAAATCAGGATATAGTATTGGTAATTGGCTCTATAGTTAAACAAATTAAAAATATTGACGAAATTGAAATTTATTATCAGCTGCTATATCGAACGACGGATAGAGCTCTGGACAACATGCGTCACGGAGATGAAATACGGAACAAGTGGCTTCAGTTACTGTCAAATATGGGTTATAATGTCAGACTTGAAGAGCAAACAATTTTTGTTACAAAGTTGAGAATGTTGTGCGATAAATGACCAGCCAACTGCTATTTTAATGAAAAACTAATTAAACCGATAGTTAAGTTCTGTGACTACGAACAGTCGCACTTTTACCGCTACTTCGTCAATGTCTTGTGAAGTGTGAAAAATAGAGCCTTGCAAGTTGCAGCTTAACTAAATTGTAATAAAATCAGGAAGTCTCGGCCAGATTGGCCTAGCATTCACTGAAAAGTTTTCTGTTCATTTGCAGCAACTAGTGTGTTACCAATGATTTTTATTCTAAACGGTCACAAAATTAAAATGTTTATTCCAGCATAAGTTAGTTGGCCACTCAGTAAATGTTAAAACAAATATCAGCTTCCGTCTTCGTCATGTTACTGTGAATAGTACTCTGTGTGCTCACGACTAACTTTCGCAAAAGTCAAATAGATAATAAGGGGACGCCTCCTATATCGGGATATATATCCTGCTTAGTAAGTGCATCCGGATCGGGATGTCTCCACACTGACAGAGTTAACACTAACTTTATCCGAATCGTTAAATATTAACAGGATTAGTACAACTGGAGTTCCTGATTCCGAATGCCACGTTCAAAAACTTTTAACATAACGTCTTGGTACTTAGGGCGTGACAAATCCACAGCCTGTGAAAATCAGGCGTTCGAATAAAAATTCTTTGAAAAGTCAAAAAAGGGTCGAAAGACAAAATTTAGTCCAAAATGCTGAGGCATCTTTGAAGATAGAAACATTGCTTTTATGTCTATTTGTTGCTTCATTTGCTTCTTTTTTCTTATTTTGGCACATTAGTCGGTAGCGAAAGACCGATGACTCGTTGTTTTTACAAGCTACTTTTCAGCGCTGTAGCAGCCTCTATCTTTAATTTGGAGCAGTTTGTGATTATATTTTGTCCTAATGGATATTTTGATATGACTCAAATTCTTGTTATAGCCGTCTTTCGCGGTTTGGATTTGGAAAATATTTAATCAGCCTCTCTGCTAAATATTCAGTGTTACAGAAAGTGACTGCTCGGTTATGATGGAAGAAAATGATAAAACAAAGGCTTCGCTCACAAAATCATATCTTTTCCAAAGAGACTAAAGAAAAAACACTCGTACACGAAATAAAATTATAACACTGGTAGTACATCATTTGCAGACTAGTAGTCGCTGATTCAAACAGCCAGCTAGTGTTCTGCAATATGTACATAAGTTGAGTAGTGGAGGTGGTTATATTAGTCGTAAAAAAAATGATAAATCTGAAAGAACTTCAGAATCTACCGCAAGCAAACAATATTTATGGATAGCAAACTGAAAAATGGTCTGTTAACTTCGATATTTATCGTTTATCTAGTGATAACTAATACTTAAGCTTCTATTCTTTATTAAATGTCTTGTGCTATACTTACTTTGTACAATTCCAAAAAGTTGTAATCCTTATCTTTCTTTTTTTAATAAATCGTTCACTTTACATTTCTCACCAGTCGATCATCGCCTGCGGTAACTGAAGGAAGACACAGAGAAGTCTTTTTTTTCCGATTATGAGACGCCCGTTCAACACTCAGTGCTGACTGTAACATTATCTTTACAGGTGTCTCCGTGAATACTAATGTATAGTCTTCACCGGTTCTTTCCATTTAACTTTAACTGTTACGAACATTATTGACTTATGCTATATCGTCATTGCGTTTACGAATGTGTGCACACACACCCTGGTTCGTTAGACTCTTTTTCCTCCATAAAAACTCGAGATACGAATAACTAACTTGTGTGAACATGCAGTCGTTCTTTCTCTATCACAAAAGGGATTTTTTTTCACACACACAAGAATAATAATCACGCTGCGTACTCGTATCGAGTTGAAACAGATTTTGCTCGAGTTATTTTGCAGACAACTGGAAGAATATTTTTTTTGCAGGTAATTATAGTCATACTGTTATGACTAATATAAAATATCTTTGCTCAGGTCCACACCGTTACTCAGATGTGAAATATTTTGTGTAAAACTGGCTCTTACTGACTACTCCGAAAGAACGATCATAAGTTTATTACTTAGGCAGCGGTAACTCTGTGCTTAAGTGACCGATAACTTTCAGTATTAAGATTGTTTCCATGGATGGAGAGAGTGCGAAAATTTTGGACTTTTTCCTTTTTTAACCATGTCGGACTTCCGATTTTTTCACAATTTCTACTAATAAAAACGAAGCGTGCACCAATAAGCATATAACAACGTGTCTCTGTACTGTACTTATTGTTATTTTATTCATAATAGTATGATTGAACACGCGTGTAAAGCTTTTGTTCCTACAGCAACGTGCGTTTTCTGCGATTTATTTTTACACATTCGCAGCTTCTTATGCGTTATTATTCGAAAGTCGCTAAAAGCGTAAAATTTTTCGTAAACAGAATTTCCTGCGCTTTTCTGGAATAACTATGACTGACTGAGCGTAGCCTGCAAAAAACAAATTTTCTTCAACCCGTTTGCAAAATAACTCCAGTCAGATATGTATGTACGGCATGTTATTCATTTGGTGTCAGCTTTCACAATCTGTACATGATAAGCCGCAGACGTTCCTACAGACTAATCTCTTTCATTTTTTAGACAATGGCTTTTACATCAATAAGGGAATCCATTTTTTTAGCCAGAGCACGCAAATTGGCAATTCGGGTATGGAGTGTAATATTCTCTCCAGTGTAACGGAAAACTTTTGACAAAAATCAAATTTAAGAATTTAAAATTATTAAAAACTTTTTTTATCTCAAAAGTTTTCCGTTACGCTGAGAAAAGTGTTACACTCAGTACACCATTTGATACCTGAGGAAGACCTTCGTCACCAAAAATTGTTCTCTATCGTGGTTCGTTAAGCTACAATCTACTCGTCGCTAGTGCAATACTGGGAGTAGAAAAAGTTGATCGCACATCGATTTTATAATGTTGAAAGATAATAGTAGGCTTACTTCAATACTTCAGTAGTGTTGTCAGAGCTTGCAAAGAGCCAATCTACTCTCTAAAAAAAAAAGGTACTCTACCGAACCTAAAAAGGGTTTAAACTTTTGTCACCATCTATATACCTTTTTAAGGTTTCGTAAAAACTATATACCGTTTTACTTAGCTAAATCCGTGACTGGGAAAAGCTTGGGAACACTGAGAAAACACTTTTTTTTTATTTAGGGTGCTGTACGAAACCTTAAAAAGTTGTACGAAACCTTAAAGAGCTGTACGAAACTTTAAAAGGTTTCGTAGTTTTTACGAAACCTTAAAAAGGTATATAGATGGTGACAAAAGTTTAAACCCTTTTTAGGTTCGGTAGAGTACCTTTTTTTTTAGAGAGTATGTCAATAAGGATTATTCCTAAAAATACCTGATCTGGACAAGAGATTTGGAAATTTATATCATGTCTTGGATGTGGAAGGTTACATAAATTGAGTGTGTGTAGTGCATCATTTCAATTAAAATCTATCAATTTAGATAAAGTAAAATTTTCAAAATTTTCGATATTCTCAGAAGTGGTTTCAGTATTAATGAATTAAAATTATATACTTGATCCACTGACAGAGCGAATTATCAGATTGATCAAAAATGATTCATAATTTATAATTTATTTTACGTGTTACAAATAAGGATCTATACTGACCTTGGCTCATCCCCTGTTGCTATTCATATCGTATCACTTTCTTTATTCACGTTCTATCTCTTTCTCCCATGATTCATCTCTTAAACATTCTCTCTCTTTGTTATTTGCACGAAACAGATTTTTGAAATTGCTAAACTTATTTAGATGGGTCTGTTGTATCGTTTTATTTCACTCTTTTTGCTAAGGAACAAGTTGACGTGAGTGCTGGTATTAGAAAAGTGAAAGATGGATCGGAACACACACTACATGTTCATCAGAATATAAAAGTATTACATGGATTTGAATCTGAAAGGATGGTGATTTTAGATGCTCTATCAACAATTTCAGGTTTATTCAATGCAGCTTTTTACGTTTTTTTCTTTCAGAAAAGGAATATAAATCAGAAGTTTACAACCAAAGCATGTCTTAGAACATGTGCATATTGAAACATATGTAGTGCGAATGACTTTCTTCAAGAATATTGCAGAGAACGTCATCGATTCTCAAAATAATTTATTAATAAAAATGATGGAAAACTGAATGACGAATTTTAATTCTTCTACAGATGCTCCTTTCTCGTGACTATATCAAATGAAGTTTCGCATCCATTTTGAAAAAACGATTCATTAAACATCAACAGCTGTTTTATCAATCTGAAATCTTTGTATCCTATGATTTCGAAAATCACTAATATACAAATTTCCTTCACTATCGAAATCTAAACTGACAGGCTCCTTGAATTGATTGGCGTCTGAACCCCAACCTTTGCCGCCAACAACAGTTTCACCTTCTGAAGCATTTGGTTCCCATTTTTGTATACGTTTATTTGTTGCATCAGCTACAAACACATTTCCATACTCGTCTACTTTAACATCCCATGGATCATATAACTGATTCCTAGCATTACCTTGTCCATTGCCACCAGCAACAGTAATACCGTCCTCGGAATCTTTCATCCATAATTGTATACGGTGATTAAATAAATCAGCAATATATAAATTCTTACATTTATCTAAATAAATACCACGTGGCAATGATAATTGATTGGATTTTTTACCGCTTCCATGACCTCCAGCAACAACTGTACTCGTTTCTGCAAATGGAATCCATTTTACAACACGATCATTATAAAAATCTGATATATAAATGGTATTGTTCTCTGATTCATCTACCCATATATATTGACAAGCACCAATTTGATTTAGATTTTTACCTTTACCATTACCACCGGCAACGGTAATACCTTCACGTGCACCTTTTAACCATAATTGTATACGATTATTATCAGTGTCCGCTATATATATATTTTCATCACGATCAACATAGACTGAACGTGGTAACTGTAATTGATTTGAGTTAGAACCTTTACTACCAGTGAGACCAGCAACAGTTGTTGTTACTTTAGTTATTAAATCATATTTTTGTACACGTGAATTATCGCTATCAGCTACATAAATCGCATTTTTATGTTTATCAACAAATATACCAAATGGTGAACCTAAATGTTCTAAATCGGAACCCCAATTACTATCTTTTCCAATTAGCGGAATACCGTTTGATAACCATTTTTTTGGTGAACGGTTGTCCGGTTGTTTATATGGTTGACACTTTGATGCTGTAAATTAAAAAAACAGTTATTTAAGAAAATTAAAAGATAGACAAACATACGGAGTATTTCGTCAATCCAATCACACTGAAGTTTTTCTTGATGCCATACTAAATTTGAAGGACATTGAATAAGGTAGGGAATATCATTTGAACAGGAATAAAACGAATGTTGATCATTGTTATTTGGATAAAAGCCATTATTTGTTGGACATATAAAAACACATGAGCACCATTGATAAATATTGTTTACTAGAAACCATATGGCGAATACGAAAGTTCTCGTCATTATACACCTTTCCGTTTCTTCGTCGTTGTTACATGTATGAAGAAATATACATTTAATAACCGACATATGCACAATTTCTCAACTATGTAAGATAATATGCGTTTTTTTTCTTTCAAGGTCTTGACTTACACCTACGTAATGGTACGAAATGGAAAAAAAACCTATTTGATTTCCATCATTTGTCATTCGTTAATAGTTTAATCATTTTCTTCAAGCAAAAACTGGTCGAGTCAACTTGGAGGATCATATATGAAATGGATATTAACAGTGTAAAAGAATTTTTTATCTTTTACTGAGTTTATCATACAATTGACTGATTTGTATGTGCTCTACCATGGGTATATTTCGTATAGTAGAGCAATATGAGAGAAATGAAGTATGAATGGTGAAAGTGAGGGAGCGAAGGATGACACTATCCATTTTAAAGAGCAGCTCTGGTGACTGTTTGAACCTGATAGTTAATATTTAACATGACTGAAAAAAACATCTTTTTGATCAAGGGACTTCAAGAAAGCTAATTTTTTTTGCTAATTAGGATATAAAATATCCTAACTACTGTACCCCGCAAAGTTCTGACTCGATCTTATTGTTTCTGAGCGATCTGCCAACTTCTTAACATTAGGTGAAAACGTTATTCATAAAGTAACGTTCACCATATGTGAAGAAATTATTTACGTTCAAGCTCTCAGAGAAGGAGTATTTGCAGCTTCAATAAAAATTCTGTCCTAGACCCAGTCATCCTATCAATGAGGTGAAAATAGATTGGCATCCAATTCTACATGCTGCAGATGGGGTTGATCCGATCCTTGCTTTATTTATAATATGAATTTATATATAATAAATAAAAGAACGTTTTCAAATCCTAGTTTTTTCCCGGACACTTATGCAGTAAAATAAGTAGAGCAAGCATTTTGATCAAAATAAGACATAACATAATTTTAAGCAGTCTTTCGCTAAAAAGGTGAAAGCATTTTGCTCCAAATCCTAAAATGCACGTGCACATGCGTAGCGTTTTCTAACAGAATCCTTTTTCTTATTCATGGATGCTCATATTCTTCGAACATTTTCTTCCAGAAAGGCGTAGCAGAGAGTTTGTGTTTGTTCCAAAAATGAATCTAGCATATGCATGTACAGGATCTCACACTCCGATTGTTCTTCATTTATTGCTTTTAGTCGCGAATTAGAAAATCGAAAATTCAAAAAATCTCTGAGAGATAGTCGAAAATACTTCTCTTTTGATAAACAGACATGGGGCTATAGCAGCCGTTAGCTGCATACACTAATTCCACTTTTGGCAATAAACATCTCTAGAAATTTCGACATTGTTATGTTCGAACATAAATTGTTTAGTATTTATCCTTCCAGTTTTAAGTAATATTGCAACTATAGCATATTCAGTCAATTATTTGACTCTTTCCAGTTTTTCTGACTTTGATGACGTCGAACAGAATAAGAAAGAGAGTAATGAAACTGTAAAAAACAAACAATTGTCATGTTCTTTTTTTTTTGATGAAAATTACCGAATGACAACAGTTAAAACGATTACATGAAAACAAATTGCAGAGAGAATGAACTACGCAGATTCATTCACAGGCGAGTCTTTGTGTTATCAGCACGGCCAAATAACTCTGCAACCGGCGTGAAATTCGGTGACGAAATTTTGACATTTTACTGTGTTTATAGTTTTGTAACTATGCTAAAAGATCTTTTTTAGTCTTGTAAATTTTCTCTCTTTTCGTTGCTTTTAAATGTTTTCTTATGCATAGTTTGATAGAGCAAAGTGCTGCCTTTACAATGAGACATCTCAGAATTTTTTCCAATGGTTCTCCGCAAAGATATGAGTGTTGCCGGAAATATCCCTATAATATCACAAGGAAAGTTAAAAACCAAAAATTCCCCTTCTGAGATACCGCTGCAAGTACTCGCGGTAAAATTTTCATCACGATCTTAGGGGATCATATTTTAATCAGATTAAAAATTGGAGTTTTAGAAAACTGCATCCAAAACTTTATAAGATAAATCTGAGCAAAAATACATCGATTCATCTAACCTATTCTATTATGGGTGTTTTTAAAAGACTTTACAATGGAAACGACGTTTTTCCATCTCTATTTTTAAAGAGAAGAAAAAATATGCATCGTTTGAACAAAACTTTGTGAGTGAATGTGCAATTTAAACATCCATCCATTCTGTACGTCCTCCTTATCGATTTTTTCCTTCGTTAATGGTTCGAGTCCCATTTTTTATATTCCACTACATCGTGTTTTACTAGTATTTTTTTTCGATAACATGGTTGTAACTCTTTGCGATTTAGCAGTTACAACTAACTGCTTTTTAACTGCCACTAGTGCATACCTAGTATATGGTAAAAGTCTGAAATAGTTCTATTCCATCTACATGAAAATGAAACGGTCCATGGGCTTGACTCAAACGTTACAAAAATTCCTAGGATTTCTCATAAGACAGTTAAACTTACACCTCCTTCAACCTATGCTCCAGCACTAATTCATTAAAGACCAGCATTATGACACACTCACCGTCTGATGAATGCAGGAGAAAAGTATATCGTCAGATCAATCTTCTCGCATCAGTTTCAAGACTAAAAAATTTCTTTCTCGAGATAATGTCTCTTTGGTATCATTTGCACTGTCGTCACCACATAGAAAAAGAGAGCTAATAGTGTCGCTTTTTCATATTAATACAAACATCTTGGTTTATTTCTTTTAATTTTCTCTTGCCTTTTAAATTTGACTTTATGCAATTAAACGTTTGTGTCGTTTTACTATGGATTTTGGCCTTCAATTATAACAAAAAGAACAGCACAATTATCAGGCACTTAATAAAACATTTCATTCCTTCTTTTGTATTTTTACTATAAGACATTACTACCAAATAGAGATCTTAGTTCACATGTAATACTCCAGAAATTAGGAGGGATGTCATAATCCCAATATGAGCCAGATTATCGCTTTTACAGAATACACCGTAACACACTTTGTTGTAACAGCCATTCGCTAACACGAACGCAGTCTGTTATTCTTCTTTGGTATTCTATTGTCATCACCAATTTCTATAGGGTTGAGGGTCGAAAATATTAGTTTCTCGACTGAGACACTTGATTAAATATGGATTGTATCTCAGTTGAGACGTTACGGCAATCTTGTTGTAAGCGACTTACAAATTTCTTTATTTTTCATTAAAAAATACGAAAAGAAAGATATGAAAAGGCTAGAAGCATAAAATGTGTACAGAAAAGAATAAACATACAGTAAAGCACGGTATACTTTGAATAATCTAAATAATTAATTTCTTATATCACGTTCAGTAATGGTTTTGCTCGGTTGGTTTCGTCCACTGTAAGAAATGATAAGTTTAAGGTGTATTATACTCGAGTTTGCTTTCAGAGAGCCAATAATTTGTGTCACAAGATTATCCGATGGATCATCGAGAGATATTTCAAGGCTAGTTAGAGTTGTATTAACTTTTAAAGCCTTTGCTATTTCAGCTATGCCTGCTACTGATATCATAGTCTTTTCAACACTCAAACATGCTAATGGGGTATTGTTGCTTTTCAAAAACTGAGCCAGATATTGTGCACCTACATCTCCAAGTCTGTTTCTGCTCAAATTAAGATTAATTACATTGGTGTTAGCCTTCAAAATTACTCTTACGCCTTCATCCGTTACGTTATTTCCACTGATATCTAAACTCACTAGATTCCTTATACTATCAGATAAAACATAGACACCATCATCTTCTATATCATTATCAGCAACGTAAAGATGTGTTAATGCCTGATTTGTTTTCAAAGAATTCGAAATGAATTCCACACCATCAACAGACAAATCATTATTTGCCATATCGAGTCCAATTAAAGTAGCGTTTACTGTCAGTGCTTCGCCTATAACTTTCGCTCCTTCATCACCGATCATGTTATCTGACAGATCAAATGATGTTAGCATTTTGTTAACTTTTAGCCCTTGAGCAATAATCATCGTGCTCCCTCCATTCAACTTATTTGAACGTAAATCTAAGCTTTTCATACACTGGTTCGTTTTCAGCAGATTTGCTATGGCATTTACCCCATCCGAGCCCATCGATTCATTTATGCTAATGCCAAATTCTTGGATACTCATGCTTTTTGATACACCACGGATTATATCGTTTACAACCGGATCAGGCATATCACCACTTACGTATACTTTTGTTAATGTCGTGTTTGTGTGAAATGCATCAGCCAATATTCGCGCACACGAATCGGTCACTTCACAATTAAGTAGTGAAAAATCAGTGAGTGTAGACTCACCAAAAGCTTGTGCACACTCGTTTGTGATTGTCGTCGTCAAAATATTTAGACCAGTCAATCGTCCGTTTTCTACAAGTAGTTGTGCAAGTAATCGACCTTCATCAGGTGATACATTATTCAACCAAACACCAAGTTTTGCCGGGGATTTATTCAAAATTTCTTGAACCAGATCCACTGTCACGCCTTTATCCTCGCCTGATAGCTCTACATTATAAGCTAACAGAAGATCTTTCGCTTTAGCTGCACAAATTACTCTCATAAGATCTTTTCGACTTATTCTCAAACATCCAAAACTCAATCGATAGAAGTAAAAATCGGATGTGAGTATCTGACACAACCTTGTTACGGCTCGTGAATCTAGTTCCAAAATATCAGGAAACTGTCCAATCACCTGAACCTTTCCTAATCGTCTATCAAAGTTTATACCGAGTTTTTCCAGCTCATTCATCGTACTATTGATATTCGGGCAATGTTTAATACATACCCATCGAACATGACCACTGTCCCTCACAACTCGATATAAATTTCCTAATGCTGTATCATTCATATAATCTTTCAGATTGGTATTTGCATTGTGACCCACTAATGAGTCAAGAATAGAATCGATTTTGTCCAAATGTTGTTGTTTTAGCGATGGTGAATGGTTTGCAATGTTGTGCATGAGTCTCAAATACTGTGCATGTATTGCGAAAAATTGTTCCGGGTGACGTAAAACATAGCCTGGATGAGGAGACAAATGAACGTTATCATCTGCACATTCACAAATGAAAAACAATCTAAAAGTGTTTTTCCATATATTCTCAGCATTCCATGAAGAATGCATATCGGGTAATACTATGGCTAATCTCGGTATGTCGTTTTCATGTTGGTACCGTTCATATGCTTGTTTCAACAGATCATGAACATCTACTTTGAGCTCACTAATGGCTGGTTCAAGTAACATTTCGGGAGGTTCAAATTCCCGTATGCGGATGATATAGAATCCTTGTGAGGGATTTGAGATTTCGATAACTTCGAAATAAAAACCAGGTAGTAAGAGAATTTCATCTTCTAATGAGAAGGACGAATATTTTTTTATTGATTTTCCATTTGCTTGTTCAATATTGAATAGTGTGCGACTTCGAGATATTGACTCAAACGTTTGACTGATAGTTGCAGTACACGAACTAAATGCCCACCAGATGTATCGTTTACCAATTTTATAGTCTTTTGTTAGATCCCCTTTCACACCGCGATAAACGTTACCTTTCACCGGTGGTAATTTGGAAAGAGCTGTTAAAAATAGCTTCAAATACGACAACCATGGAATGAGTTTGGTACGATCAACATTTCGTAATGTACGATTTAAAATAACATGTAAACTATGGTCTCGTTGTCGCCATTCAAGAGTATATAAATAAATAGCTGCCGTCTCTTGATCAGTGGTATGTTCCAACGCAATACGAACATAATGTGGTAACATATGAATGACACGTTGTAGTGAACTAACAGCATCAGATAACGGTAACAGAGCATATTTTCGATAGCCCTCAATAGGTGGAAGCGCATGTTTTGGTTCTTCACGTAAATCATCAGGAAACAAACGAGTATTTATTTCTCTGCTGCCATGTGTTAATGATGCACTCACCGCCATCATATATGAAATATTTGTGAATATGATTACTTAAAAGAAATTTAACTGAGAAATAGTGAAGTAAAAATTGGATTAAAATAACAAACAAAACAGAACGTGAAAAGAATGTGCAACGGATGAATTATGATTTGAAAAAATGCATCTGCTTTCATCTCCGTAGCAATAGAGTACGCCTACAGCACTATAGACAATTTTGATAGCTGATGCGCACACCACATTTTCTGTTGAACGTTTATTTTTTGTTCATTTTAACTCGGCGTTACTAAAAATATCTAATTTCATAGCAATGAAACGAGTATGAAAGTAATTTTTTTGCGTGTTTGTGTAACCTTTTGGCTGGAGAACATTTTCTTGCTGAGTTTTTGTATTATACATTATTGGTTGTAGTTTGAGAAGCTAATTACAAATATGGTATTTATTTTCTTTCAAAATATTTTTTAGAAGCAAATTATTCTAATGTTTTCCACAAAATCCTGAAACTATTCTGAAGTTATCTTGTATTCTTCGGAAAGTGAATGAATTTTTTCAACATGCAGTTTCATCATTCAGTTTTATACGTTAAGCCCTTGTGTTGGAAATTAGACGAACAGAACAATAGACAAACAAACGTTCACATTGAATATTGACTCATATGCCTGAAGATGATCTCACTGAGAGATCGAAAGCTCACATCTCTATTATGCTTAACTATTAAGTAATATTATTAATAAAAATGATCTTCATAGCAGTTTTTTACTTCATCTATTCGAAATTGAATTTCACGTCAATTTTTCAATGTCGCTTTTATCATAAATAGATAGTTTTATGCTTGTTTCATTTTTAATGTTATTCATAATGTCGAGTGCACTTTAATAAGAATTGTTTGGTTTTGAAAAATGAGTAAGGTAATGTACTTAGTTGGAGTGGCACTCTTTCACATGGTATTTTTAGAAAAAAATTCCAACTTACAGTAATGCTGTAAAGAAATTGTTTGATAAACCATACTTTTGGTTTTTGATACCTCACCTGACAAAGAATGTAAACTTGAAATTTTGATTAAAGCAGAGATATTGGTATCCGTTTTATTCGGTCAGAATACAAGCGGAAAAATATTCCATTATAGTATTCTAAACTAATTTCTAACTAGTATTCTAAAACTATCGAAAAACACAAAATCGATTTTTGTACGAATAGAGATTCGAACACATGAACTTAGCTTTGAAGTAAACGAAGGGATATTTATCACTGTTTTACCCTATTATCATACGCCCTTTATCAGGAGAGTGTTATTGGGGTTGAATTCTGGTTTCCGTGGTTCTGGTATCGTGTCGGATTTCCTACGAGTCCCGGGACTGGCACCCAGTGGTTATTAGTAGTCTGAAATGGCTTATGGGTAATCGATCATGCTGAGTGTTGTAGCAATATTTGTTTTGAGAAAACTTTTTAAAATCTAGTGAAAAGCGAGTTTTACGAAAATTAGGGTTTTCAAGCTGTTTTCACCTAATATTGAAAAATTCACTATTCACTCAAAAGACATCAGAACGATTTAAAGCTTCAGAATGTATAGTATCTTGGCTATTCTATATCTTATTAATAGGAGATCTTGAAAGAAATTTAACAAAACCCTGAGGTTCTCCGGAAGGGTTTCTGGAAAACCTATTAACTAAAATATCTTTTGTCGATTTTTCAGTCTTATAATCATATTTAGCGAGCAACATTAATCATGTCTTGAGGTTCTGAAATCGTTTTGATGTTTTTTGAGTGAATAGTGAATTTTTTAATATTAGGCGAAAACAGCCTAAACACCCTAATTTTCGTAATTTTTAGTTATGAAAGCATAGATCCATGTCTTCTCTTTGGAATGATGAAAACCGCAGGTCGATGGCTCTTTTCCTTCAAAAGATATAAGAAAAGCATCAGAGCTCCTCGTTCATTGAAATGGATAATAGTTCAAAGTGTTCCCTTCAAAATAGAAAAGAAGTGATAGATTATTGTCTCAGTTTCGAAAGATCCGAGCTTGTTTTCCATAGATCCTTCTAGAAGACTCATGGAGGCTCAATGAAAATTGTTTTTCTGCCATAGTTCGATGTACCGCGAAGCTGACTACAAGTCGGCGAAAACCGTTTCTCAACATCTCTTCGCATTGCGGAGAGGCACTGGGTATCTTATTATTCGAATCAAATAATACAAATATTTTAAGCGATGCTATCTAGAGTTATTTTCATATGTGCGCAAAAAATCAGCAATTTTGGTTTCAGTTTATCGAAATCTTGAAAATTAGAACAGTAACAAGAAAAACCGAGCACATTATAAAGTTTATTCGGTTATAACTGATGATCGGTTATCTGAAACCGATGCATACCTAATCACCACTCATTGAACAGATTATCTCATACAAGAAGAAGCAGTGAGCTCGTATAGCAGTTTTATACTCATTCATTAAGCATTATTTCTTTTTTGAAATAAACAGAAAGGCGTTTACACTTGATGAGGCTTTAAAAACTGAGTTTTTCACCAGTAGATGCTGGCACGTGGTGTCGGTTGTTGGTGCCACGTGTGCCGAGATTTATCAAATGATATGTCATACTTCTGCTTTTATATCATTTATGAACGATTTTTAGCACAATAACCTTGGGGATTATAACGCATCACGAAACGCTCGAATATCTCAGCCGCCTTAGTAGCGGTGGTTGGGAAATATTTTTGCTCTCCTCCGACATATTATAACAAAACTTACGATTATTGAATGTTTTTTATTTACAAGTTTCCTTTCGGTTTTTTCGTCAAACGGTAAAATAAAATTGTAGATCGCCCAAACACAGGCTTTTGATCGACAGTTCAGTAGATAAAGTGCTAGTGAGTTGAAATATCCAGCATTTTATGGCTAAACAATACAAGATTAGTTACTCGATATTTCAAGTATGTATACCATCAATAATTGGTTTACTACTTGTTTATTATTTGGGACAGAAATGGAAACTAATTCCTTTTTCACCAAAATTTTGACTGATGAGGAACAATCCTATAAATTCAGTGCTCGTGTCACTGTTGTTAACCTTTCTAAGTTAACCTCAAACGATTGATCGTTTTACAATTCTTCTCAACAATTTTACCTGTATAAAGTCAAAGATGTTATTCAACTTGTTTCAAACAACTATCTGTGTATATGATGTTGGAAACAATATTTATGTTAGTGACTCTATTGTTAACAGAGAATTTAGGAAGAAAACCTTGTAACAAAACTATTGAAAATATTATTAAAAAATCTGCAATACGGTAAGGAAGTTCTTCAACTGTGTTCACATAATAACACGAGAAAGCGAGAGGGAAACTCTGCTGAGACTATATTCTTTACGATAATATTAACCCATTAAGTACCACGATTCCCATTTGGGGATATTAAATAAATGATTCTATTATTTTCAGATGGGTACATATGTTTAGTTTGCAGCTTTTTGTGAAGAAAACATAAAATTTACCTCGCACAGTAATCGGCACGACTTTCAAATGACAGAAAATCTGGTACTTAATGAGTTATCCCAGAATCAGTCTGAACATGCAAATGTAATCAAACTCGCATATTTGTCTATCGATCAAGACTTATTTCGGCTCCTATTCTTAAGCAGTATTAAAGAGTCAGCATTTCTCTATCTGAAAATCTGAAGTCATTCTTTGATTTTAAACCATAGTCATGATCAGACATGTGCGCCGATAAAAAATTTTCGGCGGCGGCGAATGAAACTTTTACTATGAGCGGCGGCGGCGCGAGGTTATGAAAACTTCCTCCGCCTTCGGCGGCGGATCTCATAATTTAAGTTCTAAAACCAGAACTTTAAAAAAGTTCTCGTTCTCTTTCATTTCTGGCACGTTCTGTATCTGTACGTTGCCGTATACGAAAAGATAGAAACGCGCTGCACGTTAGATGCCTAAGGTAAGAACGTACTAACAAAAATAGTCAAAATTTTCGGGAAAAAATTTTCTCCGCCCTCGGCGGCGACAAAAGTTCAACGACATGGCGGCGGCGGCGGAAGTCAGAACAGTTTTTCTCCGCTGTCAGCGGTGGCGGCGGAAGTCGCAATAATTTTTTTCCGACTTCAGCGGCGGCGGCGCACATCTCTGGCCATGATCGATATTGGTGCTAATATTGGTACATACACTATGTATTCAGCCTCCATTGGCCGTACGACAATCTCAGTCGAATGTTATCAACCAAATATAGAGAGAATTATTCGAACTGTGCAACTGGAAAATGTTGCGAATTATGTGATATTAATTGGAAATGTAATATATATCGAATCTGGTAAATATTTGAAACTAGCAGAAGATAAATTAAATGTTGGTGGGCAAGCATTAATGATAGATCAAACGTTTAATTATGTCTAATGATTTTTTTCGTCAACATCGACTTAATGAAAAATCTTCATTTTTCTTCCAGTTGGTACGATTCGTTTTGATGGGTTACTACCTATTTTTATCGATCGTCAGATTCAAAGTGCAATAATGAAAATCGATATTCAATCGTCTGAAGGTTTCTTATGTGCATCAGGCAGTCAGATATTTGATTCAGCCAACATTGTATTTGTTCAAATGGAATGGGACGATATTAAATGGCAAGCAGATCAAGCCGAGTTTATTATTGATTTTTTTATAAGACGAAATTATGTGACAACAGCCACAGATAATTGTCAAATATTGAATCAAACAAGGAATAATTACACAACATGGGGAACACCACACGATGTCTTTTGGATAAAGTCCAGTCACTTACATCTTTGTAACATCTGATTAAGAGTGATTAATGGCTGTCGGAATTCCATCTGTTAGTTTTTTATCTGTACATAAAAACTTCGATAAAAACTTCAATAAAGCGCAAATGTGTTTAGAATGTCGATAAAACTGACGTCACCGGAATCCTCCACCGGCGGATCACCGCAAATAGAGCTTACACGCATCTTTTCCAGAGTTGTGGGTACGCGCAACGTCTAGTTTCTCATGGTTTTCAGCAGATAGTCGCGTTTCACGTGTTTTCGCCACCGAAAAAATACTACTGGTTGGTGCATCTGACTAACCAGAACAAACTCTAAATAAATAAATTGGTTGTCTTGTTTGTTTAAATGTTAACAATAACAAGTAATAAGCAGCTTTTATACTGAAAGGCAAGTTCATGAGAAAATGCCGCTCCGCGCTGACGCAAATTAGATGAAAAATGGGTGCCAGGTTCAAAATTTCGCGGTGAATCGGCTAGCGGGTAAATAAAATTTAGTCAAAAACCACGTAGATCATGTCGATGCCAGATAAGAAGTTAAAATGAAATTAAAAGGAACCCGCTGTCGAATTCAGAAATTTTGCACCTGGCGCCCACATCTATCCAGGCAGATAAAAAGTATCGACTTTCGGGCGATATAGCTACTTAACTCAATAAAAGTGGTACGGATACCTAGCTACCACAAGCCGATATTGCCAAATAACGTACTTTTATAGCTAGATATTCCCAAAAGCATTTTTTTGCTTGTGCGGTTTGGTTTAGCAAGCACCAAATTTTCTAATGTTATCAGCAATTACATGCCTTGCCAAAACGATGCCTAAGAACCGAAAACATATGAAAACTATGTCAGTAGATAGATGGGAATGCGAGAATCATTTTGCTAAAAAAGAACTTTCGAACAGCTACCATCTTTAGTGAGAAAAGTCGACTCTAAGCCAGAAGTGACATGGTTTAACGGGTGGGCCATAAATAATGTCCCTCTCCGTATTTTGCTTATAACTTGGTTTGGGTTTGTTTCCAAGACTCAATGTTTTTTTTAAAAGATGCGCTGCGCAATTCTCTACAAAATCATAGCTAAATTATAATTTCAGAACTTCAATCAAGAAAATTAAGTCAATTAGACGAAAGTCGAAAAAAATGTCAACTTTCTAAACTCAAAATT